ACAATGTAGGATAAGATATACACAGAAAGGTCTATCAGAAAACGTTACTCATGTTGATAATGTGTAATGAATATAATAATACACTTTGTCAAATAATTATTGAAAAAAATATAATATTATTATTGTTATATAATTATTGTCTGTAAGTAATGACTTTGTTTTCATAATAATTCATGTATTATAGAAACATACAGGGGGTTATTAACGTACGCGCTATCCTCATAGAGATCCGATAGTTTTTTTTTTCTTTTGGGAATTCGATATGATATATAGTGATTCTTTGGAATTCTTTATTTATAAAGTCTTTATCAATTAGTTGTTCACTGTTTGACAGACTGTGAATTTGACTGAAAGTATGGATATGGACTACTCTATGATAATTATTTGAATTTTCTTTGAATGCTCAATTTTTAAAATTACAATTACTATTTAAAAGGCAGCCATATGATAGTAACTATATTTTTTGGTATTCTTTCAGGATTATGAATAACGTTAAACCGAAATACGATTTTTAGGCCCGTGGTCAATGCATTTGTGCTAAACTAAATTGTATGTATGGCCTTCGCCGTACTGGTTAGGTTATTGTTGTACGTGTTTGAAGGAAAGAAGGCTGTTGTTAATCATCTTCGGCCTAACTAATCTTAAAGTCAAAACAAAATTTTATGATCAACCTTCTTGTGCCAGCCAAAGAACTTGGGTGTTTTTAATGTAACACTTTTAAAAATTCAAGATAAACTACGTTGAATTTAAATTAGGCCTATGTGTGAAGAAAACAGGTTTTCATTTTTTATTTTTTGTCGAAGTGACAGAAGGTACCGTAATGATTTGGTTTCCTCAAAAAAGAAAAAAAAAAAAGATTTCTGCAAGAGTTTAAGATCAAGTTGAAGAGAGTCGGCATTTATTGAACTGTACGGAAAAGAGTATTACAGATAATCTATTAAACAATATTCCGACTTAGGCGACATTCAGAAATACCGTAAGGCCCTAGTATTTCCAGCTGTAGGCATGGGGAAGTTGTCATAAGAAAAAAAAATCTGCTTATTCGTAGTACGAGTACGTATACTTAAAACTATTGATGAAGACTTGTTTGCAAATAAAATAAACAATAATCTTTATTTTCTTAAATCAACTCACCTTATTTCTTTGAGTGGTTCACTGCAGTGTTGCGTGATTTCGGTCGCTTGTAATTCCACTGAAGTGGACCTACAATCAGGGTGCAAAAATAAACAGTAAATAATGGAAGTGTGGCCGATTGGTGTTTCCTACTGTACTTCGCTTCGTGCGTTAAACATTGCAACGGCACGCGTTCGTGAGGAAAGCCCCTATATTGTTGGCGGAAAGTAGGCGATGCTGTCACGCAACTCATAGACTTACCGATCGCGCTTCTGATAGTTCGTGGACATACTGTCGCCTTTACTTGCTTAGTTGAATATGCAATCGCACGTTCGATACTCGCTCACTTACATTTTTTTACATCACAGAGTTCCGTATGTGTCAGTTACCTGGCAGTGGTTACAACGCAATACACAAGTTTTAAAGGGAATAATGCGAGCGAATAGCAACTCGTTTTCGTTTCCATTTACCGGCTTACAACGAATCAAATTCGTATAACTATACTTCTATCCCCATCGAAAGTTTCACAAAGCGGCCGTAGTACGTCTTGTCAATCAAAACAAATCCTCGCTCTTTTAAGGTGCTCATTGGTTGGTAAGCCGTTGGAGGTGGAGTGATATTGTCATGGTTATTGCTGCTGTGCAATATGCACGGTAGGTCTGTTTTACATCGTTAGTTAATCGTGGTCGCCGATTGCATGCAGTTGCGTAAAGTGATGGTGTTTTAAGAGGCGACTTTTTCATTTCGTGCCTGTGTGGCTGGTTGACGTATCGACAGTTGGACCGTGTTAACGTTTCCGATTTGTATCAGCGATCGTTTAAGACCGAGTTATTGTCCTTCTGATTATAGCAATTACCTATCAAATATAGATGAAATAATCTGCTACCATGTCAGAGATATTTGCTTGATAATGTTTTAAGTTTGATGGTATCTTAATAGAGTTACAGTGCGCCACTCAGAGAGTAGATATGTGTACATGATGTGGTTCGAAGGTAGATAGAATTTTCAATAGCGTTAGAACGTCTGTGTTTACACGCTTGTCATAAAGTCGTCAGATGATAATGCCTAGAAAACGTTTAGCGGCTAAATACCAGCGACTTGTGAGCACGATTCTGATGCATTACACGGCAACTGACCAGCCAGTTTGAGTCACAAATTCGCCCTAAAATACCCTATCTCAATTGACAAGTGTATAGGTGAAAATGTCACACGAGCTATAGATCCCTGATAAAATATAATTAAACAGACCGAAGTGTTAGTACATTAGAATTCCTACGTGTATAACCGATCATAGTCCACCACTAAACACCAATCAAATGCTTACGATTACACTTTTTTTTTTAAATAACACATTTTATAAGAACACTGGGACTGAAATTGCATAAAAAATAAGAACAAAATAAGAACAACTTGAGACTGAGGTAAAATGTCAAATGAGGATTTTATTTTTAAAAACTAGAGAACCATCAATTCAAGTTAGTCACATATAGTAAAGTATTAATGTTTAATGGACTCTAAAATTCGCTTGGTCTTTTATCTGTTATAATAATTTTTTTTTTCTGCTAACAGAATATTCGGCAGTCATTGGCGTAAATTGATTACGTTGACACTTACGTGCAGTAGGACTACTCTCTGTTATACAGTATGGTATATTATTACTACTGTACAATAATAATTTTCAATCGTAAAATAAGAACAATTCCAGCCTGAAATTGGCAAAAACAATAGGAACACTGAGCCTGGAAAAAATTTACTGACTGACTTTTTGTTTAAGTGTATCGTGCATATAATTTTTCAATAGGCCCATGTAAAATAAAATTAATTTTAAAATATAATTCATGGAAGTTAGTGTGAGTCAGTAGGCTTATACACACATATCATTGAATTGGTCCTAAAATTTCAACGGTCCTTTTTCGTGTTTTGCAGAATCAATTGTTCATGCCTATTGTTTTTAATCTATTATAATTGTATCTGACCTTATCTCCCTTATCTTTTACCTTTTGGTTTATTGATGTTAGGCTAAAAATGTGTTGATGATGTCATCAATTTAGATAACATTCAAACATCAGTAAATAATTAATAATAATGATCTATTAAGCCTATTGTTAAAGATATCATTCTATTATTTGTATTATCGTTATTATCATTGTTTTTGTTATAAGGCTTTTGGCGTACCATGACTGTTGAATTTTGAGCACATAATGACGTCATCATGTAATGACGCTCAGTTGACAGTTTTACATTATTATTATTCTTATTATTGCTACTGTTGTTCATAGTCTATTAGGCCTATTATAACTATTATATTACAATTATATGAATAATAGGCCCATGGGAGGGGCCTACTTTCTCCATAATATTGCAGATTAAACCATATGCCTATTGATAGTCCAGCATTTTAGTGCTGGACTTCATGATCATTATCATCATCATTACCATTATTAATAGGTATAATATGATAATATTATTATCATTGTAATTGTCATTGGTAATATTATTATTATTATTATTATTATTATTATTATTATTATTATTATTATTATTATCATCATCATCATCATTATCATTGGTAATATTAATATTGAGTCGGCGAATATACAAGCCACTAACGTGTTTCCTCAAAGTTCAAGGGATGCCTTGTGCCCCCATTATCAACATAGGCCTACTCGTTGTCACAATATTCAGTAACGCAACCAAGTTGTTTTGATTTTAAACTTTAATATAAAATTCATTCAAGCTTTTGAGTGTTGTGCGGTGAAGAAACTGAGAAACATATCATATTGCACGTGAGTACACCTGCAATAACTCTAAGCTGGGGCGTCCAAACAACGATGCCTAGTACTAGCCGGGCTTAGGCAAATATTGAACATTGATGGCTTCTGGAGACTTTGTCTCCTAAAGCCCGTGTTTACAATGTAAACTCGCTTGATCCTCGATATACTAGAGGTAACAAGCGGGGTAACAAGGTGGGCTGACCCACCAATATGCAATAATATATTGGAGACGATAGGCCTACTTATTTCAGAGAACTGAACGGAAGCGTTCAATAGAATCTTTAACTAACGCATCAATCATCCAACTTACAATTCATTGTAAAACAATAACGAGTACGGTACACGACGACTATGTAGGCCTATATACAAAAAAACCAAAACCAAAAAACACCAATTTACTTAATAAATTTAATCGCACGGACATACAACACACATTTTTTTTTTTTCTTCAGCGCCAAACATTTAGTTCACTGGCTAACAGGGTTGAAATAATGATGATCTGGTATCATTATAAAGCTTAGCTTAGGACTTTCTGGATTATCAGATTGAAAAACTAATATTATAAAATGGTTATGAATACGCGCATGTTCCACATACACACGTTTACATTGTGGGACCTTAGCAACAATAATCGTGATGCCATAGAGACCGCAACGCCCCGTTGAGACCTCCTAGACATGGTTTTCATACGACGAAACGCTCAAACTGCAATCGATAATCAGCACACAACGTCGCGCTGTTATAAGCGCTAACGCAGAGTGGCATTTAAAAGGACCGTAAAGTTATCAAAAGAAGATAAAAATCTAAACATTTCAGTTTTCACTAAAACAAATTAATTTTTCAATACGAAAATTCTTAAAATTATTTCTTCTAATTCAAATGAAATGTATATTATGTCAAGAATAGTGACGGCTTTATTTATGCATATTGGTCTATAGAATATTTTCTTATTCCAATTTTTTTAATTTTATTTCTGGTAATGGCAGGTAAGCCTCTTGTTGAGCCTCTTGTTATATTACTTGTTATATTATTTGTTATATTATTTATCTCATTGTACGAAGTGATGTTTGCCCTACTTGGCGAGTTCTGTGTGCTGAGTCCTTAGTGCGTCCCCAGGTACTTGAGGGGAACATTCTGTAAATGACTCTGGTAAAAATTGAGAGTATGCATGCTGGGCGTTCGGTACGTGCAGCGCATTGGGTTGGGGCAGGCATCACTTCGTATTAATTCTTCTGATGCAAAACGCATGGCAATTATCTTATTGTAATTATTGACTTATTGTTATTAAGACTATCATTATTTTATGTAATCGAATCCAGACTAACGTATCTACCGTACTATTTTTAATTTATAGTATTATGAATATTTTATTTTATTTATTTATTTGTTATTTATTTATTTATTCATTTCATATTTAATTTTATATATATATATATATATATTTTATTTTAAATTTATATATATATATATATGTGTGTGTGTGTGTATGTATGTATGCTTGCATGTATGGGTGTGTGTGTTTGTGTGTGTATACACACATATATTATATATATATATATATATATATGTGTGTATGTGTTTATACATATATATATATTATTTTGTTATCAGTATTATTATTATTGCTGTTATTATTGTTGTTATTATTGTTATTATTACTATTATTATTATTATTATTATTATTATTTATTATATTATTATTTATTATTTATTATTGGTGGTCATGTCTTAAAGTTTGTACAAACTTATTTTGACCTCCTACCGCACACATCTTTTTTTTTTGTTTATAAAATGTAATTTCAATTGTAATATTTATCGTTGATTAATTTTTATTTTATGTGTATGTGGTAAAAAACAATAAAACAAACAAACAAACAAAATTACAGTTTAAAGCAAGGCCTAAAACTTACTTGAGACATAAAGTAAGCAATCAACAGTTTTGAAGTTCAAATTTATTCTTATTAGGCAAAAAGGAAGGCTCATGATAGATCTAATCCGTAATCTAATCCAGTTAAAGAGTGGGTGCGTTTCAATTTCAATATTCTGTATCAGTAAAAGGATCACACGCAATATTTTGCGTGTGTCAGCGAGAACGTCGATATATAAATTAGGCTGTCATACGCGCTGCATCACACAGCCAATGAGGATAGAGAGTTGGAGTTGGAGTTGGAGAAAAAATAGTAGATTGAAATTAATTATAATATTTTATGTCGAGAGGGTTACAATAATAATTTTTTTCTAACTTATAATCGCTTGCCTATATTTCCATTTCCCCTTTAAGGTGCGTGGTTATCAGTTTTGTGCCAGTCACGTGATATATGGTCTACAAACGGTAGTTTAGACTGCTTTGTTGGCTACTCCTGTATGCAACAAAATGTCGAGATTTGTGTTGACGTTCGACTCTCAGGGAGAGTGCCGAACGTGCCTCGATCATTCATGTTTCACCTGAATAATATGGCGAATTGATGCAAGATCTGTAACTGTGGACGATAGCCTCAATTTTGGGGGATTCCTCACGCAACCTGGCCTATAACGTGCGCTTTGAATAGCATTGATTACAACCTTTGAATGTGATTTTTATCAGTAGTGAAATTGGGATTACTTACTACTTATGTCCTGTCTCTTATACACATCCAGTTTAAAGCAAGGCCTAAAACTTACTTGAGACATAAAGTAAGCAATCAACAGATTTGAAGTTCAAATTTATTCTTATTAGGCAAAAAGGAAGGCTCATGATAGATCTAATCCGTAATCTAATCCAGTTAAAGAGTGGGTGCGTTTCAATTTCAATATACTGTATCAGTAAATGGATCACACGCAATATTTTGCGCGTGTCAGCGAGAACGTCGATATATAAATTAGGCTGTCATACGCGCTGCATCACACAGCCAATGAGGATAGAGAGTTGGAGTTGGAGTTGGAGAAAAAATAGTAGATTGAAATTAATTATAATATTTTATGTCGAGAGGGTTACAATAATAATTTTTTTCTAACTTATAATCGCTTGCC